TCCATCAGTTACTGAGGCAGAGGAGGAGAAGACTCTTAAAAGTACCACTGAAGGATTATTTAATATTTAATTTACCTCACGTCAATACTGCACAACAAAATCCAAGAAGTCTGTTTATGCAATGAAGCAGAGCTAAGAATAACTATTCTCTCTTTTAAATTGAGAACTTTTTAAAATCAATATCCTTAGCAAACATTTTTCTCTCTTTTTTTTTTTTACTGTATCAAGAGGAGAGTGTGAGATGTGATGGCAACCTTTAAGTTCATTTAAAAACTTTACACTGGACTGTACAAGATTTTTTTTTTGATAAACTATTTACATTTTCAGACTTTAAAACATATTCAAAGCAGCAATAGACACTAGTTTTTCCTCTAAACGCCCAAATAATTACCGGCCATGGGCCCAGGTAGGTACCTGCATTGTATATAGAATTTCTACAAAGAAAACCTGCCTGTTAAATTAGCCAGTGGGTGTCCAATGAGCAGCTCTCGTGGTTCAGAGCTGCACCCACAGTGTTGCTATAGGAATCAAAGCATAGTACCTTGACAAGAGAGTCTCAGTTGTCCCAACAGCTCTACACAAACTTTACAATTTGAAACAGCAGCTAGCATGTCAGTCCAGCATGTCAGTGAATTGTGCTGATTAAATTAACATAGAGTACAATCTCACAATATACATCACAAACAAATTACAATGTCAGAAAATAAGAGTTACAGTAAGATAAGTTATGTAGTAACAGCTTATAAGCTTGTCTTAATGTAATAAAAAATTTGTACATGGGAAATACAATAATGAATGAACATAAATGCTAAGCATTCTAGTTTGCTACAAGCTGAAGAAAGGTACAAGAAAAAATTGCTTTCTAGAAAGCAAAACACAAATGACAAAGGAAGACAAACGGAGAATGCACACTAGCAGGTCTGCAATGTGCAGCATACAAACAGTTAAATATTTGCACATTCCCCATACTCCAAGAGCACCAAGGACCTCACTTGTGGTTTTCAGAAAGCGGAAATTACAAAGCAAGCCATGTCACTAAGTTGCTTTATAGCTTTCATATTGCCATAAATACCAATTTGATAAGTTTTCCTTTCACCCAGTTCACTCCACCCTACCCCTTTTTATCCAGCGTGTGAAATCTCAGAATACTTCTTTGTCACCATTTCCAACAAATCTGATACTTAAAAAAGGGCAATGGATTAAAATGAAATATATTTGCATATACATATATCTTTTTTCTTCTGTAATAGAACATTACAGTATATCAAAGATGCAGTTTGATCTGAGAAAAATCACAGATATTAATGGATTTATATAAAAAAAAATTGGGGGATTTTTTTTTAAAGGAAAAGAGTGTGTTTAAGTGTTTTGTAAAGGATCACATGAGGTCATATAGGATTATTCTTTTACAAGAACATGCTTAAGTGACACCTTGAACCCTACACAAGCATGCAGAACACCTAGGGCCCAGGCCCATCATCAGCCTTTCACAGGAAACACCAAGAGGAGCTCGGCCTGCACGTTGCCCGCTGCTGTTCGCACGGTGCCCCTGGCTCAACGGAGACTGCCCCGCTCCTAAGCACTGCCCTGGAAGTACCGACACACTTAAAACTAAGCTGGCAGGCAAGTGCTTTACTGAGGGCAGCAGGGGGAAGAGAGGGTTAATCTTGTAGTATGTTTTATGAGGGAATTATTTTGAAACATCCTTGATATGAGCACAAAGCACGGTTTTAGATCGCACTGGGAGCTGGTTGTTTCTGCTCCCAGCAGAACTGCTGCACTCTCTACACCGGCCGCGGTTACTTCCTGGGACCCACACAGCTGTTTGTTTTGCCCTCCCAACCCAGAGCAAACCCAGCTTTCGCCCTCCCCCTGCCTGTTGCTGCACCTGAGGACACTGATTTGGGAGCACACTGAGAGGAGCCTGTGTATTCCCAGCAGCTGGTTTCACAAGCTAAACAGTGACACCCAAAACGACAGGCCAATCACACTTGGGCCACATCGTCGGAGTCATTTCCCTGTGGAAAGCTGAACCCTGGAAAGCAGTTTTGTTTCCATTAAGACTTGAACCTTCCATTTTTATGAAATATTAAGTGATCTATTCTAGCTAGTATCAGACTTTCAGGAGTGTTCTTCTCTTTAAAATAATTACTTTAAATTTCCCAAAAGAAAATATATTGTATCTGTTAATTAAATAAATTGTTCACAGAGAAAATATTATTACTATACTTGTGCATTACCTGAATGGAGCTGTTAACGCTTTTCAGCGGTATTTGGGGGACTCAAATACGATGTCTGAAGAACAATTCCACAAGTCCTCTTTGTGTATGGTGTGAACTTTTTCCCCTGGTATTACAGCCTAATATGACAATATCATGATTCAGTGAATGTAGAAAATAAACGTTCAGTATTATTACATGTTGACTCATTGCAAGGGCTGCCTTAATCATGATAATCTTGCCAGAAATATGGTTATGACTTCAAAATGCCATTCTTGTTGAGAGCCAAAAGATTTCATCAGTTTTGCTTGGACTCACAAAACGAAACGTGTTTCATATTAGCTGTATCAGAGATTTGGTGCATTTGATGTATCGGCTTTCTAAGAAAAAATGGAAAAAGTATTCCGTGCTTGAGAAATACGCTATTAAAATTCAGTGAGAGCACAAGTGAGGCATCTTGCTGTCCCAGCTACAAGTCCACAATACTGCGCTCACACTGCGGGTGTAAATTCAGCATCTACATGAGGTACAGTGACTTGTCAGCATTTAATATGGACCAACATACACTGATATAGAACAAAAGTAAATACATAACTTATACTTCACTAAGTATCCATGAACAAAAAATAAAATTCTATTTCCTATGTTATATTTACACAATTTTAAAAAAATCTAACATGAGATGGTAAATTCATCAAAAACTTTGTTTTGAGCTCCAATTTATAAAGTAAAAAAAGTTGAGTTTTTTTATCCTTATGATTGTCCTTCATTGATTTCCACTGACATTTTAGAGCCAATGTCGGCTAATAAATAGAATAAAACGCTGATATGCACAATTCAAATTCCAATATGTTCCTCCCACTCCCCCAGCCAATAAATGCTTTTTCTACCAGCTGGCGATTCCTGACGTGCCAATCATTTTCGAGAACGTGGCTTTAACGTACAGAGCATCAGCACTGAGGCAGGGCTGGAGCTAAAACAAAGTGTTCATACATACATGTATTTTGCATAAATAAATGAAATAACAAGACATAAAAATGACTCAAATCCGGCAACTGTGAGGCAGGCCCACACGAGTCGAAACAGATGACTTTTGTTCATGTAGTTTTTGTACAACAGTTTCACATTAGTCAGAAGTGATAAAAAATACCATTTATATCCAGTGCTTATAACACTTACGAAACAACATCTGTGAGTGTGTGTTTTTTTGTACTACAAGCAAAATCAAGTTTCAGTCCTAAAGAACAGTCCTTTGTTCTCCACAAGCCTGCAGAATATTATTTTGGCATGGTCATAAAATTTTTTTAAAAATTAACCAACTAATCTAAATGTTTGCCTTTGTGCAAAAAAAAATTACATAAAATACAATGCTAGCAATACAGCATTCTACCTATGCAACAAACCAGAAAAAAAGAGAGCAAGAGAGAAAGAAAGTGGCATGGGGAGAGGGAGAGATACTTCTCTGGAGAATTATCTAAGACATTAATAAATAGCCATTTTAAAGGAAATAATGGTACCCTCCCCCCAGTCTGATCTGAATGTATTAAAAACAGTTCAAAACCCCAAGCAATTTTAAGAACAAAAAAACACTATCAGTACCTTAGCCAGCTTAAAGAGGGCGCTCACCAGCTAACGACACAGCATTTGCCTTTAAAGTCTTGGCTAGACCAGTTTATTGCTTACTAGACATGGACTCAGAACACACTTAAATAAATATTAAAAATATAGCATTTTGTTCCAAATTACAAAATGGCCACAGAAATTTGACCATTGTGTTTCTATGTCATTATCTTTATAAATTGTCCTGTAAATTGAACAATCTGTTTCGGGGGTTGTGTTTGCACATTTAAATGCGATTCCTACAGCGGCAACACCGGCTGCGTCCACTCAAATAGGTATTATTGGGGCTAGGAGGAAAACAACAGCTCCTGACACAGCAACTCCTTGTTGCAACTTGCCGTGTTTCTGCAAGGTAGTGGGATAGCACAGGCAGAGCCAGCATTAACGCTGCACTTCTTCACTGCCTGGGCCCCCAGCAGAGCTCATATAGCTCCATGGGAACATTGCTCTGGACTCGGAAAGGAGCTGCGCCGGGCTCGCTCGTACCTGTCAGCCTCCATTTGCCACCTGTGTGCCGAGCACACCCAGTCCAAGCAAAAGCTAAGGGAGCTCAGGTGGCCCAGCACACCGGTTCACCAGGCCCACTGCATCTGCGTATTACGTACAGCGATGTGCGCGTGAATAACAGGAGCGGAGTGAGAGGGGGAAAAAGTAAAGGTGATTTCTTCTCTATCTCTGAAAAGTAATAAATTTTCCATCTTTTAATATCTCTCTATATATCTTTCCCAGAATTTTCTCTAGTAGTTGTATTTTTATAGGAGTAATACAAATACAAATTTTAGTTTTTATAGCACTTTTCATCCAACAATCCCAAAATATTTGACAAACATTCATCAAGATCCGACTCCCATTCCCTTGTGACTAATATTCAATAAATATTTTGATGCACTGTTCTCCCAGCTTTGCAAGTCAGACACTTGTGTGGCCTGCTCTCCCCCATAAGGAGCCTCACATACAAATCACTGCAGAAATACACTCCCGGGAGCACACAGGTCCTTCAGGTGACAACAGGAACGGTGATGTACAGAGCCTTGACTGACTGCAGGGCTGTACAGGCCCTAAAATTTCACGATAGACTCTATACGAAGTTTGAATTTTACATCTCCCTGTCAGCAGATAGGTAAAATCCAACCTTTACATCATCCTGTTTACCCATATCTGCAAATTCTAAGAATAGAGGTTTATAACTATAAAAACACTTGTTTAAGGAGTATTTTCACTGTATGTACATATCAAAGTACTCACTTTACTTTGCATTACATATAGCAGAGTGTTTCCAAGTGCTCCCTGAATGAATATTGTTACGGAAACAACTGAATTTCCCATTCATAAGTTTCATGTTCATTTTAGTAGCAGGTGCACTTTCATTTTCATATACCTGTGTATTCTGGGGAAGGAAAAAGAAAGGGCTCTTTAAAACATCAATAAGGAATTTTAAGTGTAATGCCACCAACAGTACTTTTAAAAATAAATATTAATATTTGGACCCTTGACATTCTGGAATGAATAAATTATTTAAGAGAAAATGTGTTAAGACTGAATGCAAGGGTTAAAAGCAAAGGGGTAGAGAATGTAGTCAAAGGTGGCCTCACACTGCTAAGACAGGCCCGTCCATAGCTGGTGATCGCTCTTTTGTGCTTACCGAAAGTTTCACACTAATGGCACATCAAGAAGCAAAAGCAATTGGGCACATGCACTATGGCAACCATGTTCACTACTTAAGAATATCCTGTCTCCAGATTCCTGAGTATTTTACCATTTTCTGGAATTTTTTTTTCATATAGGTTTTTTTAAGATGCCAAAGGATTGTCTAAGACTTTACAGTGTCTCCTTTAAGACTTTTTTTAAATCTTAAGATTCGAAAGTTATGAAAAGTTTGGCACATCAGAAGTTCAGCTATACATATGGAAAAAAATGGAATTGAGAAACTATTTTTTAAAGATGAGCTATGATGCACAGATGTGCACACTTGCGGACTTGTTCTGCTTTACAATATGAAATCTGCAGTTTTTGTTTTCTAAAATAATCCAGAATAAAAACACATTCACAACCTGTAGGCTGGCACAGCATACCTGAGTGAGAATGTATAACCCCCATCTAGAACAGTAACTTAAACCTTTATCAGCATCCAAAAGGAAAAAGACAAAAGGTAAGACTTGTAAGACAGCTATAGATTCATATAAGTTTTCAAGTCTGATGCCTGATATTTAATATATGTCTTCATCTAAATTAAAAAAAAAAACAAAAACAAAAACCCAAGTTCATGAAAAATTAGGGAAACAATCTGTCTCACACTTTAAGAAACATTTAAGACCATTCTGCTGATGTAACTGTAGGAGCCACACATGCATGCAGGCTCTTTAAGAACTTTTTGTTCAAAAAAAACCCCCCAAAAACAAATGAGTCTGAGTATTTAATTCTGCGAACACTCCTCAGTTGGCACTGACTGCCTCGTGGGCTTCGTTTTCACTGCTATAGTCTGATTTGGGATCATCCTCATAGTCCTCGTACATTTCAATTTCATCCTCTCCGTTCATCATTTCATTTCCAGCAAGGCTTCCGCTGTCCGTCTTCATACCGTAAGTGCTCTGAATGACAGGGATGCTGGGCTCAGGGCTGGCAGAGGTGCTGGAGCAGTCGGATGTCATCTGAGGTGATGGCGTGGTAGTTGCCATGGTAATAGCACCAGGGTAGACAACACCCGTTCCTGTGGTGATTGGAATTTGAGGCTGTTGTCTGAAAGGCAAAACAAGATGAGGACATGATCACCTTCCTTTGGAGGTGGGAAGCCCTTCGCAAGTCCGAGCAAGGCAAAGCGTGTGATTCTCCTAGCACATCTGCCTGCGTTCCTCTGAGGTTCAAGTGCTTGTCCTGCAAAACACTGGTGGGCTTCAGCTCCCCCTAAGGACAACTGGAGAGTAGACTTTTTGGTAGGTAACTCCGAGGATTAAGCCTTTTGATGCTTTTGCTTATTTTATGCATTTATTTAAAGCATACTGCAAACTAGCACTTGGACAGAGATCCTCAAAAGGCCTCAAGCACATATGAGTTGCTTAACAGTCACCAAAGGCAACTAACTCCTAAATTTAGATCTTCAAAACTCCTGACAGGAGCTTCTGTTTCACGGCTCTTAGTAAGGAGACCTTGAGATTATTTATAAGCACCTAAAAAGTAGACGGGTGGCTAAGGAACTTTGTGTCTCTGTCTATCTGTAAGCACATAATTTACTGCGGAAGTACCGGGTAGACTCCTACATCACTTAAGAATACTTCTGATATTTTATTGCTGACCTTTAAATCCAAAAACAGAATGCTGTTTGTTCTTTGGGATTTAATTCGTAGGATAGCTTCTGAAGCAAAGTACTTACAAACAGAAAAAAAGATGAAAAAAAAAAGTCCCGCTTGTAGGGACTGAGCCTAAAAGAATTATTACCTCCTGAGGAGCTGGGTACACTGTCTCTGCTTCTGGCACAACTCATCTCCTGATAACTAACTCTGCATCACATAATTTCCTGTTTTTATTGTTTGCGATTCTAAGCTTCTGGAGCAATCTTGCAGTTCAACTAGAAAAGGCCTGTATCGTGGGCAGGGAATTTAGCACAAACTTTACTACAAAAATGTGCCTAGCTTAACTGTTGTAAATGACACAATGTTTCTTCTTGCAATTAATATATATGTATTTAACTGCTTTTTTGAGTAAAGGTCAGGTTGCTGAACCCTTTCCATGGTCAAGTCCTTATTGACTATTAATTAACTAAATGTATTTCTTATATTTGGATTAATTAACTAATAACCCACTTTGCATCTTAAAAAGACTATCTCAAATATTCCCGTATTACTTCTGGATCATCACCTATTAACTAAATGAAGAAGGGAAAAAATAAAACAGAGAACTTGTCTGAAGGAAGAGAATCTCTATCATATTTTAGATGTTACACTAAAGGAATATGCTTCAATAACAGAAAAATCAAAGTGCCCTGCAAGACGCTGTTATGCTATTGATTGTTATCGGACATATATGCCTATTTTCCTAACCCATTTAAATAACCAAGTATTTCAACATGACTAAGGTTTTTTTTTAGGGCAATATTGACCAAGTGCAGATCTTTCCATTACATAATTTTAGCAGAAATTGGGAGAGAGAAATTGGGTCAGATGTGCTTGAATAGTCTAATGAATCTCTAACTTTTTAACCACTGTGTTTTTCAATTCCAAAATATAAAAGGACAGAGAAACATGCTTTCCATAAAGCACTTGCTCACAAAGTATTACATGAATGGCAGTTCTTATCATTCTTGTTATTGATCACTGGCTGAATCAATACACCCAGTAATGCAAAGTTTACTCATAATATCCTGAATTTTGATTCTTAATTGCTCATTGACCAAATTCTAATTTTGATAAATATCGCATCGCAGAGTTACCAGAAATCCAAAGCTCTTCAAGTTCAGAATACCTTGAGACAGTCAAATCACAAATGCTCTGTCTAATGAAATACTCTGGTAGCATCCTGAACTACTGCTGTTGCTGGTGCTGCTAGCCCTATTTTTAAAGTCGTTGCACAGTTTATAAAAATGAAACATCTGCTGCAGAAGTATGGCTCACCTGGCCAGCAGTGAGCAAAAACATTATGGTAATTCATCTGACACAGTCATCATATTCCTGTTTGCAAATGACGATTTACAGATGATTTACAAACAGCTGGGATTTTTCACTAAATTTTCACTTTTTAAATGATTTCATAAATGTTCTGTGAAAACAATTTTCAGCCAATGTATTTGCTGTGAACATCTTTGAATACTTTATTCATAAAACCGAACACCTACCTCACATGGGACTGTTTCTATTTTATGATTGGATGTTGCTAAGCATATAAACTACTACTGTTAAAAACCCACAGGTACTTCCTCCACAAATTCTTAGACACAGAAAAGTGTTCACATTAATTACTGTTTCCACAAAGCAAAGTAAAAAGAAACCCACATGTGGTCACAGCAAAATTCTAGATGTCATCAAGACGCAAACAGCTAATTCTAATTTGTGCATCCAACAACTGCTGATGCTATTCTTTTTCTGGTATTTCTTAAAATACATTTACAACACAAAGAACCATCAAACCTGCATCAAAGAACACCATTACATAAAAACTGTTTTGAGAAGAGTTGTTTTAAAAAATAACTTCTAGTATCTCTTCTAATAAGATATTTTGTAAATATTCTGAATTTTTGAATGCGAGCTGCTGTTGTGTTACAGGGACAGTAAGAATAAGACCTCCATATTTCCTTTGAGATGCTTGCCTTTCTAGAAGAATATTGCCTTATAAATGCAGCAAAAAGAAAAAAAAAACTTTTTAAAATGTGAGGTTTCTTGACATTGTGATGGTTGGTCAGAGTTGAGCCCTAAAGGGCAGACAAATGGTTATATCGTTAAGAAATTGGAGTATATGCAAATGTTTTTCCAGGTAGCAAAACTTTTCTTTGTATATCCACATTTCAGGAGGCAGGGATATATTTGTCTGAGTGCCACCTTATACTTTTTAAAGTATAAAGGGAGCAGGTCATCTGATTATAATCAAACAGAATAAAATCAGAGATACCTTTTACCTGAGATTCCATCCTAGTATAATCTAGCTAGCAGAATAGAGAATTTGATTGCTGTAACAGGTAAGTTAAAGGTTTACTCCCTTTTTCATTCAGAAATGCAGTTCTTATTTACATGGTAAACAAAAATCAAACCTGATGTGAATGCTTGCTGCTGGGCAGGTACTGTGAGCTTTAAATTACCAATGTCTCATAGAAGAACTATAAACGTGTATTAGCCATACCATCCAAGCTGGCAGTGTCACAAATTGCTAACTTCATCTTGAACCTGGACATTTGCTAGCACTTAGGCAGGGGCACCCGCACATGTTCAGTAGCTCAGCACCTACTTCTCATCCAAGCGCTGCTATTATTTACGGATGATCAGGTTGTCACTGCTTAATTCTGCTCAAATCCCAACCTTATATCCCAGAAAGCCATACTTTAAGACCTCACAACCTATATGAATTGAATATATGGTACTGGACATGAGTGTTGTCATTTTCTAGAACAAAGAATTTAACAGGGTTGGATGGGGGAAAGAAATCAAACAGCATTTATTTAAAGACTAACCACCCTCAGAGAATGGAAGAGCTGGAGCTTGTGTTTCTGGCCATTATTATTTTCTTTTAGTTGTAGTTCTTCCTAAAAGAACATTAACGTTGATGTTTATGATATTTTTATCACACAAAATTCCACATGCTTGATCCTCCAGTCTGGCTAGATTTTTGCCTGTTACAGGACTTTGGAAGGAGGACATAGAAATGTCTGTCTTTGGCTTCCGCTTAGTTGCATGTAGTTCCAGTGTCAATGCAACGCTGGTTTCTGCCCGATTTCCAGAACCCTGCATAAATCCTCACCTCTCTTCAGGTCTGTAAAGAATGGTGATGAACAGCGAGGCACCCTGCCTTGCAATCCGCTCCTCTTTTCCAGGGAATTCCACAGCTGGCCAGTTACAACAGTTCCCTTACCTCTCAGCTCTGCCAACATTGCTGACACCTCCATCTATTCTGGAGCCAAACATTTGGCCCAAAATAGTTAGGTAAATATAAAGGAGGAGGTAACATGAACAGTCTTCAATCAATCAACCTGTTCGCAATTTAACAGTATTAATATTATTAGGATTTACCACTTCTGACTTTTGCAAAACAAGCTAAACATTTAAATTGGCAAATCATCGTTGTTTTCTGATCCCTTCAGAACTATTTCCTGACAACTCTTCAGACGACTGAAGCAAAATCGATTGCATTAAGGAAAAGGCTTCTGTGCTATACACCCTTGCAAGTTACCTCCCCGAAAGGATTGAAATAACAGTAAATCTCACAAAAGTCCCTATTGTGTACTTACTTCAAGTTCAAGCTGCAGCAGGATAATATTACAGCTTCAGTCAAAACTGTAGTCTAGCGACATTCAGACCATGCGTGTATACAGTAGTTATAAACACTATAAAGGCTTTACTTTAAACATCTTACAGTGGTAAAACAGAAAAGAGTTACTGCTTACACCATCTTGCAGAGAAACGTATATAAACCATATACTTCTATGTACAGAATTATGTATTAGACTATGTTTATATATTAGAATTGTGCCTATGTATTAGATTGTGAAAATGACTGAGAACTGGATTATTTTTGCAAGACAAAGCAACAAAAAACAGACTAGTTTGACTTAAAATTTCTGATTTACAGTTTATGCGTGATCCATTTGTTCACGTTTATTTATGTATTACAAAAAATATAATTGAAGATAAATTGTAAATAACTTGATATATATAATTGGTTTCAGGTGGAATTCCCACTGGAGTTAAACCAATAATTTTTGAATAAACATCTGTGACATTTGGAACAAAATTCACTAATATAAGGGTGCAAGAGAAAGCCTATGCAGATTTTGAGTTCCACTGTGTTCCTTGAAATATACTGGCAGTACAAAGATTTTTATGGTGCTCTATTGCACATATAAGGTTTATCACAAACCCATGGATTTCTTGCCAATTTTATTCCAAGAAATCTTCTCTGAATTTCCTGGAAGTTTTTATTAAAAAAAAAAAAACACACAGAATCTGGCCATTTGTCAGTTTATCTCCTTATTCTATTGCGAAGTCTTCGAAGTCCAGCTAATATGTATATTGAGATCAAAATTCATTTTGTCTTACCAATGATTAGTAAAAAATGCTATTCACTGTGGTCAGCAGGATGGACTTTTTTCATGTTAAGATTTGCAACATAATAAAACTTTTCTTTTGTGTTTACAGGGAATTTCATAAAAGTCCAGCTGTAGACATGGCAAGATTATTTTTTGCTAGCCAATCGCTCGCCCTAGGGGAATTAGTCCTTATTGGATTGCTAAAGCAATATGTGTATGTTTGGTACAAGAATAGAATGGAAGACAATACCATATACAAATACAAATGAAAAAATATTTTTTCTTGCCATTTATTGTTTCCTCCAGCTATAGATTGAGAATGTCTTTGTATATTTCTCTTCACACATTCTATTTGTCTTTTTATTCTGTGATGTTATCTTTTGCCATTTTAGCATACAAATTCCCAACTTAATTGGTATGTTTAAAAAAAAAAAAAAAAACAAGCAGGCCTCCATAAAGGGCAAAGCACTTGGCAAATTGTGTCGGAGTCTATTTTGTACTTTTGTTCTCTATTTTACTGAAATACTTGCTGTAAACATAGAATATCCAAAAAAATCCATTTGTTTCCTGTTTCATTCTGAAAAGAAACCTACACCTACAGTTATGAAGAAAGGTTCATGCTGTTTGCTTCATCAAAACAGTGGAAAAATGATAGGTGCACGAGGTCAGTTAGGTAAACTGTTCCAGCTGACGCTTTCTGTGCCATTTAAAGGTTAACTAGAGGAAGACCAGCCTTAAGAAGTTAATGGGCTCTGTTATGGTGTTTCATTTAATTATAATCTGATTTGGATAAAATGTTATTTTTTATTATTCGATAACCTAAACTAGTAAAATAAAACATACCATATAAGGTTTACGTTTCAGTTCAAAAAGCTGTCCTGACTTTTTCAAGGCTTTTTTTTTTGCTTAAAACAAAATTCTCTGAATTTCTTTGTTTAGAGGAAAGAGGAATTTGGCGCAATCATAGGAAGTCACACAGAAGTACTTAAAGCATTAAATAATCTCTAGAAATCACAATCTGCATTTCCTCAAAATCAGAATTTATATCCTCACTAAGTTCCAACAGGGATCTCCTTTTACCTGTATCCATCCAGTCTACTTCACACCCTGCTTTTTATTAATTCTGTAACTAAAGTAATTGTTTCCAGTACAGTCCTTCGCATCATATAGAAGTAGGAAAATGTAATTCACTTTAAAGCTCCTTTAACATGGGTAGAACAGTACAAAGTAGACTTAGCATAAATATGAGTTAGAACCAAGTGCATAGTCTTTGTGATGATACTATTTACTATTTATTGTTTGATAAATGTGTTAATTTAGGTTGCACCAGCAGTTTTATTTTAAATATTTTTAATTACATTAAAAAAGGGGGGGGGGTGGATCATCATCATCAAGTGGACACTTTTAGAAGCTTCTTAAATCTATCTTTCATATTCATGTCTCTATTTAGCTTATGCCTTCCATGTACAGAATGCTACTGCTTAATACTGTTTTGAATTAGCAAACAAACCTTGAATTGTCCAGACTGCTGTTTGTTTTTTTTTATGGGAGGGGGCATTTCTTGTGTAGATATGATTTGGTCTGTCAATCTGTTTTGGAAGCCGAAAGCTAGAGTTTCATAGCCTCAATCTGAATATAATTTGTGCTGTCTAAATTCAGATTTCTCCTTGGCTTTCTATGTATAATTTCCATGGAAGCCTATTAGTAAACAATTTCCCTTAGACTGAAGAATAAAAAACAATGTTGAATTGTAAAGTGGAAGGCTATTCCAAGATATCAAAAATACTTCTGTTTACTGATTGAAGAAAGAACTTATGTTGTTGCATGCTGCACCACAAAATAATTGACTGCAACAGGAGTTCTGTCTCCCAAGCCAAAAATGAGGGCACATAACCGATGTCAAGGTCAATTATCTGGTAGTAAAGTACCCAACAAAAGGAGACTATTGTGATTACAGAAATAAGCAGAACATTGTGAATTTGGAAGGGCTGGCAGGAGAGATAGCTCTTGGACTCTTTTTAAACCACCAAAAACATTGTGTGAGAACACTGAGCATCACAGATGAGTTCATGAAAAAAACAAGAGAGAGAAATCAGTTATGGTGCAGTTGTTTCACTGTACTTTTCTATCTTCAGCTTATAGATCTTTCATAGTGCTGCTTTCTCTCCTGAAGACTAGAATACTGTTTAAAAGCACACAATGAGTTTAAAACTATTCTACTTCCATACATTCTGTGTTGTAAATCTATCCAGTGCATGTATGTGCTACTCTTCCTAAATGTACTTTAAAAAAAAAAGGCTAATTTCATGCCATAGTTCTGCATGTAACAAAATTCTAGTACCCTCATGATATGGTATCATTCATTCATGTCTGTTCCTAATTGAACTGCTTTTGCCCCGTCCCTTTTCCTTCCTTTCCACCTCTGCTGATTCTCTGTTCTCACTGGAATAATCTTGTCTTGGTTTAGAAAATGATCCTGAAGTCATTACTAATCCAGAATGGACTGTCTTACTACTAACTCACAAAAGGCATAATTAAAACCTTCCAGACTAATGAAAAATAACTGCTTCTGATATTAGGGACTTCTAGAATCAATCTTATACTCAGCATTCAATGCAAAACTGATAGTTCCATATTCAGTTATATATCTTACATTTTAATAAGGTTTTACAGGTTCAAATGCTTACCTTCTAAAAGCCATTAACAGGCAACTTAAACAGGTAAGTCTAACTGTTTTCAAATAGCATTGTTTGACTCTGCAGTGCATTAAAAGCAATTACAACAACAGTACTTACCCTACAGTAAAAAACTGCCTCATCTCCTGTCTTCGAGACCTCATCAGTTGTTTATATTCACCAATACGCAATTTCTTTCCATCGACAATGCAGGTACGTTTTGGTCGGGGTTTATATTTGTAATTTGGGTACTTTTCTAGATGGATTTTACTTAGCCGCGCCTGCTCTTCATAGTAAGGTTGTTTCTCTTGATTTGACATGGACTTCCAGCGAGATCCTATAAACACAAAATATCAATGAACTCTCAAGTAAGGCAGGTTTAGTTTTACACATACACATTCCGACACACCTTCTTGCCATGATAAATACATTTTAAGTATGTTAATTAAATGAGCTGATTTGAATTTACATCAGCCAACACCTGGATTTGGATGCATGACTTGAGACATGTTAGAGACTTGACTATATTGCTGAAGACCTAACATACATAAATTGTTCTTTATTACCTTAAAATGCACTTACAAATCTATAGTTGCTTCTCCAAAATGCAGCCTCATGCCATAAAACAGAATTTCTCCTTTGTTTTTAGCAATATGAGCTTTAATCTGTGCACTCTCTGTACTTTTGTATTAGCACACATAATATTATGTTTAAGTGAGGACTACAGCCATTTTTTTTTTTTATTTTATGAGCTTAACACATTGCCTAGGGACACAAGCTTCTGTGGTAGTTTTATAAGGATCTGGTTCATACATTTCTAGTAAAAGATATTAATGCCTTGCTATTTAGCTGGAAAAGAATATCAAAATATTAGAGATTTAACAAAATTACCAAAAATCACTAGATATCTGGGTGTCTTATCCTTACTTTTTATTTCAGCTTGGCATAATGTTGCCACCTAATCTTATTTTAAGTCCTATTATGTATATTATCTCCTGGCCAGATACAATAAATGTACTGAACAGCACTAGATTTCCTTAATTTAACTAAAGTTATTTTACCAAAAAAAAGAGAAAAAGCAGAAAGCACATTTCTAATTATACAAACCACTTTAGGTATTGTAAACTTTCACTGAAAGCTGCAGCAATAAAAAGAGTAAAAAAAATTAATACAGTAATACAGTGTATACAGGAAGAGGAAAAAGTATTCAGATTGCTTGTATTGTTTATAAGGAGCTATCTAAACACTTGAATAAAGAAAGGTTTTTTTCCAGGGAATATGAAATGCAGAGCATAGCTTTTTCGTGTCTTTTAGATGGATAAAACGATTACAGCTGTGGTAAACGTGGGTGGAAGCTATTCTTTTACCAGCATTTTTCATACATCAACAAATGGAAAAGTTGTATAAATATTACCCGTAGCCAGCAATATTCTGTGTCAGTTCTAATATTTCAAACTCTTTTCTCATTGTCCTGGAAAAGTTGCGCAGATATTATACGGACATAGACTTATTTGTGGCTGAGTGGATACTGACAGGTTAATTCCATGGTTAACAAACACTCAATTGCTGGCCCTTCTGGAATATTTATGCTGGAAGTTTACATTTTAATGAATACAGTTACTATACTCCTAATATTTTTTTCACAGAATGCACACAAATAATATAGATTCCCTACAGCTGCCAACACTGAAACACTGCAGGTTTTATACAAAACTGAAAGGCTATTCATATAACCTACTTATATGGCAGAAAAAAAATATGAGAACTACTAAGTAAGATTTTTGAAAGTTTTAGGACAAAGTAACATTTATTTCTATGTATTTTTGCCTTCAACTGAACTAACAAATGCATTTTTGGAAACTCCTTTGATAAGAACATATTTGAACTCAAAATTTACAATAAAATGATTACAGATGAAACTTGATTTTGACTTTTATTTATTACGAATTGCATTTAGAATCTGCCCTTCACTTCAAAGACTCAGAAAGCAAATGTACGTCTTAACATTTCACCCCTCATTCTCAAGTATGTTTCTAATTCTCTGGAGAGGTGGCTCAAAAAGCAATGCAAAATTTCTAAAAAGTCAGCCAATTTATGTGCAGAGCAGCAAAATACATGTTCTGGTATATTCCCTGATCATCCCAGTATATACCAATTAGATAATGATGGTGTCTTTTAATTATGCAATATTTTAAAGGTATGAGGCAAGTGGTAAGTGCTTGCTTAGCTTTTCTAATATCGTAGTATTTTGAAAGGTACATATCCATGTGTATGTGTATACATATATGTGTATATATATATATATATATATGTATATGTATGTGTGTGTTTGTCCTTTGAAATTGCCATATTTCTTGCTACCTGATCAGACCAGTTTGACATTGTATTGTCTGACATAAACCTTTCATTTTGATTTTTGTGCTTTGCTAAAATATTTCCCAATAGAGCTTTATTACTCCAGATAGCAATGTTTTAACACTCATAAATTTTGCATTCTTGACTCCAGATGATTTCTAATGTGACCTTGCAATTAGGATCAAGCTGTAATCTCGCCACAGATTTAAACAATCTTCTTTTTGAATGTTGCTAAATCCTGAAAGCATTTTGTGAGTCTGCTGTTGAAAATAAACAGAGTCAGGGAAGGGGCAGAAAAGGAAAAGTAAGGGAATAAAAACAACTCATGTGTCTTCATTTGTTTAAGTCTCAGTAATTCTGATTTAAGTGAAAATCCCAAATGTCCTAAAATCCCAAAAGCTACTTTCCAAGAAGAACGTTACTGACCCAAGTCACCAATATAAATAACCTTACTGAGTCCTAAATCAACTATTTTCTGTCAATTGCTACTCCTATGGCAGAGCCTTCTCAGCTGCCCATCATTTTGGTTGCAGGGCAGTCACAAGGTAGTCATCACCTTGCACTTACCTAGGATTTTGCTAATGTTGGAGTTGTGCATGTCAGGGAAAGCCTGGAGAATTTTTCGACGCTCGTCCTTTGCCCAAACCATGAATGCATTCATTGGCCGTTTGATGTGCGGTTCGCTGCTGGCTCGGCCCCGCGAGTCCCTGTAGACCCGAGCTTCAGCCACAGTGGCACCTCCTGTTGGCCAACAATAATACTGCTGTAGTTTGGCTGCAGAGCCATTCATTGCTTTACTTCCTGGAGCATCAGGGCAGGAAGAAACAAGATGGGTGCAAAACATTATTATGTGCGTTACGCGAGCGCTTTCCTTGCTCTGTCGACTTTAGCCACATTCTCCTGCTCCCTACCATTTTGCTCTCAGGTCTCCAAGAGCGAGGAGAGAAAGGAGAGCCTGGCAACGCCACTGCTGACAGTCCTGCAATATCTGAATGAGAAACCAAATCGTAGTGGTATTTCTCCAGTTAAGGTATTGATATGTGAAAAGGTTTCACTGGGGATTTTAACTTACCTGTGTGTTCTCTCAACAAAACTCAACATTAAAGCTACACCTGAGAGTCTAAACTGATGTCGACCTGTTCACATAAGTAATGCTGAATGACTGCACTGCTTCAGCAACAAAGCACATGCTAGACATTTCATAAAATAAATTATATAGCACACTCAGGTATAGGCTGCTAGCTGCTAGAATGCATCTGGCCACGTTTGCCGCTGAACATTTTAAAATCACATTTGCTTTAGCTGAAATGGAGAAATATCTATGACTCGGAGCATTCAATCGAACACCTGTTCAATTAAACACCCGTAAGAAAACTGCTCGCCTTCAGCAGGCCCATACACACGCTAGAGCCCCAGAACTGCGTGGTGAGTTTACTTGGCTCCTCTGTGCCTGCTGTGCTCCCCTGAACCCCGTCTGCCACGAGCCCCTCCATACGGCTGTGGGCTCACTAACTTGACAACGGCCTCCATCTGGGTAAAATATTGCCCGTTGGGGCACATACATTACATTGGCTATAAATACAGGTTAGTTCTTTTTCAGAAAAGGTTAGTTCTTTAAATTCAGTAAAACAGTGCAAATTACTGACTTCAGCGAGTAGCTCACAACTTATTCATGCAAAAGCTAAGTTTCCTAACTTAGTGTGAAAACATTATACCTTATTTATGCTATTTTATTCTGTGCAGGAAACATTTAGATGAAAAAAAGTGCTAAAACAGGGGATGCATAACTAATATACTACCTTTTTTTTTGCCACCAGGTCCACAGTACATTAATTTCATTTAAAATGCACTGACCATACAGGATAAATTGGTCTTGTTTTATATGGTGTTGACAGGCATGTTTATTGTGCAGTGAAATGTAGTGTAGTTTCAAGCTGACTATATCCATCAGTGTAGGGCGATATGCTGACTACTGGGCCAGATGAAGACATACATTACTCTGAGAGCAAAACACTCATTCATATATGGCAGTGTCTTCTGAGGATCACCACGGTAATTTATGATGCCTCCAATGCCATTACTTTAAAACTGACGCCAATTTGGCAATTTATACACTAACATGCGTGCACATGAAAGAAGACAGGTTTGTGGCAAATATAAGATGCAAAACTATTATAATACTGTTCTAAGCACCATTCTACAGGTGTTCAGCATTTACAAACAGCAGCCACTACAGTGAGCTTTTTGTTGCAAAAGAAAGTAGGAGTTTTGTTGAGTGATATAAGATTTGGATCTGGGGACGGGACCGATTCAGAGGTGCTTATGGATAACGAGGCTCCATTCATTGATGTCAAAAGAGTCGCAACATCTATTTCACAGGTATCATCTTCCTAGAGAGGATACATTTATTTAGAAACTATAATAAGTTGCAAACACAGTAAGTCAACACTGAGACATTTATTCAGAGCTGCATGGCAATATAATTTCAGAAAGAGCAAATATTTCGTGTAACGTTCACTCCATCTTTTAGAAAATATTATAAAATTTGAAATGAGTATGTTGGCAATTACAAAGTTACTGACAAACTAAAAAATGAGAATGATTATTGACGCCCAAGTGGTCATATGTTATTCAGCTACTCGACTTACAGTGAAGGAAAGAGGATGACGTATCATGATCTTCCATCTTTTACCTTCCCAAAGACATTAACTCCTTTTGGCAAAGGAGTTTGTCTTTAGCCTTTCCAACACAAGTCAGGCCTGATCTTTCAGTTCTAATGCAAGCAGAGAATACTTACGCAAGTATCGGGATTACAGGCTGTTTTTCTAAAAATTTGAATATAATTTCAGTAGAGTGTCAGAAAAAAAAAAGAAAGTATAAATGATCAGATTTCAGAGAAAGTTCTGTTAGAAAACAATTCTTACTTAGCGTAATAAATTACAAATATCTCAAGAAGCTCTGACTGCATCTGCTATAAGCAAGTCCCTACTTGAAGGATTTGAAAAAGAAGCCCAGGAGGTTGCATTCTTTGTGTTTGATCTGAGGGAATATCTACAAGTTGACCAAGAGCCCATCACAAAAGTATCCACAAAATAAATTTCTGCAAATAAGTACCAGCAATATAGTTTTTATGTTCTTCTAATTATCTCAAAAACTACAGAATTATATTGTATATATAAAACATAACAGGGAAATAGTCCTGTTAGCACATGACAGTAGGTGGGGAGCCAAAAATTCTCAGTATCTTCTTAGCTTAGAAGTGAGGCCCTAATGAAATAAAAAAGCAGAGTGCATTCTTGCAAGTGAAAACATATAAGAACAAGCTTTCAAACTGCGCGACAGTTCTTAGGCACTTCATCCTGTCAATCAGATATGTAAATCATTTTTTTGCCCTGCATGAAATTTCAACAGGTTTTACAAACTCTGGGTTTATTTTTTATTGAGAAAGTGATAACAACAGAGACACAGAGAACTGTGAAGTTTATAAAGAAAAGATATATGTAATACTATAAAAAGGAGGTGTTATTGTTCTTTCTGAAAATGTCTTCAGAAATGTCTAATAAGTAATAGTTAAAATAATAGATAAAAAGTGTACTACTAAAGAAGGGTAGGAATAGGGAAGTTGGTAGTTAAAACAATTTTGTCTCTGTGTTGACTAACAGTCTATTTGCTACTTACTGCTCATATCGCCATCACATAAGGAGGTCTTGATTTTCAGAATTAGGCGTTTGGTCAGGATTCAAAATTATTGCAAAAGCAGTATTATTTGGCTGCCCTAATGGCTGAGTTGGCAAAGAAACCTACTCTTTGGCATCAAGGCTTGGGTTATCCTCGAGGTGTGCTTTGAGCTTCTGAGGGTGTGGACTGCCTCGCTTCCTACATCCCTTACATTTGCTGATCTTGCCATGCCCTACATGATTTAAAACTAAAAGTAAATTGAAAGACAGTCAGCATGTTCTGTAGATATTCATCATGTAATTGCTCTGGAGAAGCTGGATTCAGGACTAGAGTATAATGTCTAGGGACAATGCAAGGAAAAGAACAGCACAATCTAATAATGTTACGGCTTCCTTACAGTAATACAAAATAGTATTTTTTTATGCCAAAAGAAGCTGTCCTCTAGAAAGTAAAGAATCTGATCAGCAACAAGAAAGGGAAAGATTAAGTATTTTCATAAAAATGAAATGTTAAGGAAAAAATACACAGTAACAACTGTTACTTTAAAAAAAAATATTTCCTGCATTTCTCTTAGTTTCCCATCTTTTAAGAATTTTAAGGCAGGAACCATCTCCTAGCATCTTCTCTGAAATCTCAGCCACATTATGGTTAAATCTACAGTCTTTAATGGTATGGGACTTTCCCCTCCGTTTATCTATCACCTGCTACCACAGTCCCTCCAACTGTGCCTCTTCACATGTTAACAGTGCTGAAGGGACAAGCAAAAAGAAACTCCAGGAAAAAAGATAAGAAATGACAGTAAAGAGAAAAAGATTCTCTCTGGTATTCTGCAATTGTATCTGGACATTGATCCATGTTTGAAGTGATGTATTTCCTGGGACTTTCCCCATGTATATAATCTATGGTATCCATGTTTGAAGTGATGTATTTCCTGTATATAATCTATGGCTACTCTAAATACTTCCACAGACACACACAAAGTTAGACTGTACAAAAATAAAGACCATCTTTCTAAGTTCCTCATGTGAAAGTGGCTACAGTCAATAGCAAAACTGGTATCATCAGTTATTCATTAGTCAAGATGACAATTTGTCTACCTTGTAAAGGACAGACTGCAACCTTCAAAATATCTGTCCCCGTCTGTCTTTATACAACTAGCACTGCTAACAGCTAGCAACTGCGGAGACCAAAACCAAGGGAGTGTGGAAACAGAGATGACCCTTATGCTGCTAGAGATGGGTTGCTTCTAATGTGGAAGTGCCAGGAAAACAGGAATAGCGAAAAGCTGGCTTGGCAGTCCCCCCTCTTAACCTGTGGATAGATGACTGAAGCCTTTATGAAAGCTCTAACAATATTAAATAAAACAGAAAAATGCAAATCTGAAAAGAATAAACAGAGAGAGCTTGGAAGCTATGAATGCAAGTAAATCATTCAGCTATAACTTTAAGACAGTAAATCTATGTTTAATTTTGGAAAAGGTTACAAAAATGACTACTTTGTTGTTATCTAAGTGACTTGCAACAGTGTTAAGGTGATATTTATTGTTGTTTTCTCTCTAGACTCCTAGACTTCGCTTTTTATCACCATCTCCATATTCGAAAGAGTTTCTTGTACTTTATTTCCAGCAAGAGAGGCTGAACAAATGGGCATCTCACTAACTATTGTCATTACCGGTGTGTCTTGTCATCACCACGCAAAGCTAACACCCGCTCAGAAACATGACGAGCTCCGGGACTGTGATGCCTGTAGTCACACAGAGGCACAAATGTTCTGCAGGAAAGTGCCTGTTCATCAGCTGCTTTCATTCCAAATGCTAAACAAATATTATTCAGCTGGGATTTGAGGGCCCAACATTTCTCAGAAATTGCACACCAGTGAATGAAAGGGGGAAAAACCTGAGAGATATATGAGTGATTCATAAAATAGTGTAATATTTAAATGGGCTCTAAAATATTTCACCTGCAGAGGTTCTGAAATGTGCTAAGTAAACACTAAGGGCTGAGAATCTACTGTAGCACAGGTTGACTACATTAATGCAACACTCAGTTATGATAAGGCTCCTATTTTTCCTATTAGAGACGCCATTCTCTTTAAAACATCAACAAGAAGAACCAAAAGGGAAT